GCTCCTCCTGTAGCTACGTCAGTCAAGCCAGCACTTCTTCCAGTCAAACACTGACTGTCAGGAAAGCTGCTGCCTAGTAGTCCTGTCAGCCAGAAGAAATAAATTCACCTTAAAGAGCTGTGGCTCACCTGATCTTTGCAACTGTCATCGAACTCTAAGAGCAATTGTTTGTTTTGCTCTTGATGGAAACCCTCCCAATCCTTCAGTCTTCAAAATAAGGCTCTTTAAAACACTCTGCAACTTGGGGTGATAGGAGGAGGTACCCTTAAACCTAAGGAGACTATGCTATTCTCATAGAAAATGGAATTTTTAAGAAAAACTGTGAAATCCAGTTGGTTTTGTCCAACTCTAGGCATCAAGTATGGAAGTCACTGTTTAGAAAGAATGAACTGGCTCAGCTGACAAAGACACAATGCCAACATTGTTCTCTCATGTGAAAGTTTAGAGTTTAAAACACCGAAGGTCATACAAGTGGGTGGAAAAAAAGCCTGCATTTTTATCAGAAGTCTTTATGAATTACCTAGAGGATATACAAATATGGAAAATAACCAGCCTTCTTGAAAAAAGCCTAAGTATTTACCACTTAAACTCTCTCTCCTGAAAGGCAAACCTGTACCATGGGATCCATCTGCTCAGGTAGAAACAGCAGAAAAGATCTGTCAGAAAGTAATTTCTTTTCCTCTCCTGTATTTGTCAGTGGATCACTGGCATTTCCCCCTGTAATTGGCCCCATATATAAATGGGCACAAAACTGAAAGAGTTTTTGGTCATATCTGCGGATATGGGCAACACACTAACCAAATAAAATCACGTAATGTGCCCTTCTTGCAGAAGGAAGTCACAATCAATGCCATATAATATCCATTGTGTTTTAGGAAATTCATTTTTATCTAGAATTCCAAACTCACTTCCTCACAAGCATAAACACATACCTTTTTTCTTGATGGTTCACTGACATTACCCTCTGAAAGCGACATGACTCAGCTCAACGTTTATGTACTATGCGTTGCACAGAAGTTTGCTCAACACATGTTTTTAGAGCAAGTCTCTTCTAATACACAAAGATGGGCTGATGGCATGGAAAGAAGAATGGGGCAACTGTTCTTGCTTACTCTGCCTTTCTAGCTGCCATCCCAATGTGGATTTGGTTCATAAAATATTCACCTGTGGAAAAGCAAGTCATGAAGCATAACTGTAACCCACACCAATCTTAACACTGAGCAGCAATGAAGCGTGTAACTGTCTGGTGATTATCATGAGACATCAGAAATACTTCCAAGTTAGCAAGTTGTGCAGTTGTTGCTGTAAGAACTTATTTGGAGCTTTTGTTCCCATGGATCTCCCTGAACAGATGCATGGATGCCCTCCTTGATATTCCACCCACCTGATCAGGAAGCAGAACTAAGGGGTGCCCAGGCATCAGTATTCTCCTTGCTATTAGGTACAAAAAACTGCCTTCTCTAATGAGCAACCTCTCTTGATAGAGGAGACTGCAATTAGTGTGGACTCTCAGGAGCTTTAATGTTCCCAAGCAGCAAAATGTAGATAAGTGCATTGTAAGCGAGTTCAGAAAGGCGCGCAAAATTCTCTGGCACTGACTAGTCTATAGATATGAAAAGGGCCAATCCCTTTGTAAGTTCTGAATTTAAATTTAGAAGAAAATATATATTTAATGGAGAAGGGGGACCAAAGAGGGAAGGAACATTGGAAGGAAGGCTTCTTGCTTTTAAAGATAATCATTCTATCCACCTATATTCTTTTTTTTAGCTTTATTTTCACAAATGAGCATTTTTTTGCAAGTAGGTTTTCAGGCTCCTCAAAGTAAGAGTGCAGGTGCAAACCACAAGTGCTTTAATGTGAGTAGTACAACCATAAGAACATAGGCGTAAGATCTTCTTTAAGAAAAAAAATCATTAAATATTTTCATTCCCTTATGTCTAAGTGCATAACCCCTCTACAGAAAGCAGTAAAGGTCACGGAAATGCACAGGCCTTTGCTGATGGAAAAATGCTATTGTATATTGTTCAAAATTACACAAAAGAATTGAGCACAAGTGCTAGAAAAATGAGACCTTTAAAGGAGTGAACTGAAAAGTTCCAATGATATCCTGATTTAAAATTGCATGTGTACAGGTTGCAGCCACTTCTGTGTCTCTCTTTATTTGAAAAAAAAAAAACAACAAAAAAAACCCAACCAACCAACCAACCAAAACCCAATCAAAAAAAACCCCAACCAAAAACCACCTCAGTTTATAATCTTATTGAAGGACAAAGTTGTAGATTCTTATCACTTCATTAAATTGCCAATGCATGATGGTTTTTTGTTCTTGTTTCATAACTACCCATTAACATAAAAAGATAAGTTTCTCCAATGAATCACATAGTGGAGTTTCTGCCAGCAGAGGAAGGAGTAGCACAGGAATGTTACCCTGTAACATTGCAAAAAATTAGTCAGGTTCCTCAAAATATGAAGCTCCTCCATGGGCTACAGCAGTAAAGTTCCTGTAGGCATGGAGTCATCTTTCCATTGCCCTTCAAACACCACCACTTATTTTTGGGTCATGCTGACTCCAAACAATTGGAGATAAGGAAGAAAGCAAACATGTCACAGAATTGCCACCTGTCTTTTTAAATAATTCCTCATTACCAAGGTGTGACCATAGGCAGCCCTCTAGCTCATGCCTTCTTGTGTCAGGGACGTGGCTGCATTGGAAGAGAGACCTGGACTGTAAATCAGGACTCCATAAGGGAAGTCAGTGTGAAGTTTTTTTTCCCCAAACTATTTTTAGCATGGGCATAAATAATATCCTCTTAAAAATGCACATTTCCTTACCAAAATCCTTTTCACCAGCTTATCTTGCCCTTTTGCAAGGAAGTTCAGGAATGCCAGTATGATAGTATGAATTCATTTATGAATGAAAATAATTATAAATTACATATTAGTTTAAAAAACAATAATGACAAGGACTTTGTAGATGGATAAACAATTTCTTTAAAGCTGTGAAAAGCAGCCTGGGTCCAGTCCTGCCAGCATTTTTTTGTGCCAGTGATCCCTCCATATGAAGCAGTTCCACTGAGCTGGGCAAAGTGTCCTTCACAGAAATTGTTCTCAAGAGCAAACTGGGCCAAACTTGCCCAGAAACCCTTCCAGTGGAGAACACGTCATCCCACAAGCAGCCCTGTTTCCCCCAAACATCAGTGTATGTGACATGCTCTGAGAAGAAATCCTCACTCATCCGAACCTTTACATAAAGAAGAGTGAGGCCAAATCTCAAAATACTCAGCAAATGCTTTCAAAAAAGGCAACTGCTGGATTTTTAAGACCACCTCAAAATCATGACTTGTCCTAGATTTCCCTGTTTTAAAATTCCCTTGCAACTGCTATTACTTGTGTTTTCTGTGGAAGTCACACAAAGAGGGAGAGTGGCAGTTTGCAAGAGGTGGCAAAAAAAAAGGCAGAAGACACTATGACATTGGGAGAATAAAAAGAACAAGTTTTTGTACACTTGAAAACTTTCAGGATGGCCAGACTTTTCTTCTGAAGGGAGGTTGCTAATTAGCCAACATAACAGTAGCAACAGCATCCTTGTAAAAACAGCTCACTGTTTATTAAAAGCAAATTTGGGAGCAATACGACTTCACCAAATTCTCACCAATTTGCTATGACTGACCAGCTTCTGTCTTCCACACATGCTTAATCTTCATACACTGACACATTTTCTACTCCACAAACTATGTATCAGTCTCTTCAATCAACACAACTCCAGTGTTTCTGTTGATTTCTATTTTAAGACAGGAATCTACTTCAGAAAGTAAAATCTGAAGTCTTAAGAGTACTTTATTTCCATTCCCAGTCTCGCTCCACTCCATGCTTCAAAAATACTTATGCCAGACCAGCAAGAGAAGTTTCCACAGGCAAATCAAATCATCATCTCCTACTTGCTGTACTTAAAACTTACAGCAAATTACAGTATCCTGGTATCACACTTATTGCCGCAGGGCAAGGCCCTAAAAAAATGGTATTTTTTCACTTGCAAATTAAGCAAAGATGCTGATTTGAAATAAAATTAGAGAAAAGTGAGTTGTAATGAAAATTTAGGGTTTCAAATGAACACCTCATGAATGAAGTGAAACAATGTTACCTGTACTAAGGTACTAAGTGTTGTCTTTCTACTAAATACTGGAAATTTGGCAAACCCTTTTCAGAACTGAAATGCTGCTTATACCATCTGAAGGTACTTGCAGATGGGATGACCCATGTTCCCATTCTCCAAGACGGATTGTGTTTCCCAGCTAGATTACATCTCCCATAACCACAACAGCAACTCAACATGAAAAGAGGAGATGGAAGCCAGCCATAAAGTCAAGCCCCAGGGAAGGAAGGGGAAAACAAAGTATGCTAATTACAGTTCCCATGGGAGATGGCGCTAGCATTCCTAAACCTAACCTTTCAATCCTGTTGTTCAGTGAAAGGAGATTTGGGGGTTTTTTTCCTCTCCATAAAACAAACCAATGAACTTCGACAAAATTACGATGCAGAAAAAACTTCCAGAAGACAATGCAGAACAAATCTTCAAACCTGCTGCAAAACCAACTGAAGAGGCAAACAGCTTCACCCTTTTACTGCTCAGAAACTAAGGAGGAGTGATTTTTCTGCTTCAGGAACATTCCTGAGGCTTCGTAGCAATATATCCCTGACTCCATCATTCACCACACAATTCTTCCCATTTTTAGTTTAAAAGAAAACCACTACACAGGACTGGATCTTTAAACCCTTATTCATCAAAACCCCTCAAGGCTTTAGCTAGTTGCACCAATGTGACAGAAAGACAGTCTTCACAGTGGTGCCCCAGCACTTGACAGTAAAGTGAAACAGAAATAGAGGAGCTAATGGTTTCTGGATGCTGCAAGCGCCCCATTTCCTCACACTGCTAACACCTGCTTCTAGAATACAAATGGGTCTGGGCTTAGCAATGGAGCAAGACAGACAAAACACAGTACCCACTTAAACATGACAGGAAGCAATCCCTTTCGTAAACTCCAGATCCCTGTGCAAGTTACTGCAATGAAAAAAAAGATTCAGAGAATTAGGCACAAACAATATAGCCTGATGAAAAAAAATTATTATTTCAACACAATTCAATAATCTGGAATATCAGTAGTACTGATTACCGGCTCTTTTCAATGGCCCCTTGTTCTTCCCCTTACTCTGGAAAAAAAAAAAAAAGGCTATTCTGAGCTGCAATGCAACTGAAGGAGCAGTAAATGCATCAAGCATAGGTCTATCACAGGGCTGGCTCACCTACATAAGGGGCTGGCTTATGAATTGCAGCATTCTCCCCAAGAGGTGGCTAGCACTTACTTTCCTCAAGGCAGAACCTCAGGAAGAAGAAAATATCTGAATTAACACTTCTGTAGAGAGTCCCCAACAGTGTCTCAACAGTGGCTAACTCAAAGGAATCTGGGGAAGGTAACCAAAAGTCTGTTGACTGTGAGCTTAAATTCTGAGCAAAGATTACACCATCATCAGTAAAAAAATTAGGGGGTACTCCTTAAGAAAAAGTTTAAAGACATGTTGTTGCAATACTGCTTCTGTGATCTGCAATTCAGAAAGCATCTCTATTAAGAGTTATGCACTGGGGACAAGTGTCTGAAGTATTAATACAGCCACTATTGGACATCTCAGTTTTACCTGCATCAGGAAGATCTAAACTGGCCTAAATTTAGCTTCAAACAAGCCTTCTGTCCCAAGTAAGCTGCATGCAACAGGGTCAGGACTTCTCCAAGCCACATGCCCGTGGCAGACTCAGTGAACCCACACAAGAACCTGGGTATGCTCATGGCAGAAAGAAATTTTCATTCACTAAGGGTAAATCTGACAAAATGATAATATTCTTTTCCCTTCTCCCAGATGAAAGTTTTAAGTACTAGCAATTTCAGTAGCTCTGCAGAGCTCCACCAATCCCTCCTGCTGACCGCATAACACTTTGAAGTGCGTAATTCAATATTCAGGTCAGAAAGGAAAAGTGAGTATGAGGGTAAGGCAGAAACCTGGGTTCCTGTCCCTGCTCCAATGAATGTTTAATTATTTTATATTAAAAATTCATTTGGAGAAGGGCTACAATCCAGGCAGTCTAATGGGCTTAACTATGATAATAAAAAGATCCATGATCAAATGCTACCAGACAAATATGGGAGCTCAGTCTTAGCTTCCTTTGGGCTATCAGACCTAACTCAGAGAGAGCAACCACTAGCTCCTCCATTGCTTGTATCTCACTCCAGAAAGGAGCAGTTCAGCACATCTTCCTGGAACAGAAAGAGAGCTGCCAGCTTAAAAGACATCCTCTTGATTTCCCCTTGCTTTAGCCAGTTCAAACATCTCCTTATTTGAGATGCAGGCTTTTGCAAACCCCACTCTTGGGCCAACTTTTCTCCCAGCATTGCACAAGAACCCTCGTTGTCTGCATCCCACAGAATACAGTGGCTGGAAGTTTGATACCACAGTTTGTAAGGATCTACTTTATGGATCTACTCTGCTGAAAATGTTCTTGAGCTGCCTTGGTGTATTGAAAACTTTGAGCTGTGTGACTGACATTGCAAATGACAGCCAACCCAACTGAGCTAAATGCTGAACATCCAAGTTCTGCACACTCCTGTCCACTATTCCCCCTCAAGTGAAAGAAATCAAGAAGGTGCAGGGATTCAAATACTCAAGTCACATACAAAGACTCATTTAGTATAAAGAAAAAATGAAGCTATTCAGAGACATTTCCCAATCATAAGAATAAAGTCCACAAGTAAACTACCCATAGCAAACAGCTCACATGCAAGTAGTTTTTGATTTAATACTTCTCAAAAACAGGGAAACCTAGCAGATTTTCTTGCCTGTGAAGGTAAACTCACTGAATAACCATGCTGCCATATAAAGGATAAAAAGGGTGGGTGGAAGGAGGCATTCTCTTTGCAGAAATCAGGAGCTGCATCTCCTGTGCAAACTGGAAGCCTCCACCCAGGCTGCCCCTCTGGTCAGGTGTCGAGCAGGAGCCAGGCTGGGGACTCACTAGGCCGTCTGTCCAGCCAGGCACCATCAAGGCGGCTGGCATTGCATCAGCCAATGGGCAGGATGCTAGAAAGCTCTGGTAAAAAACCTGCCTAAGGATGGCTACCTTCCATCAGACACTGGGGTATGGCTTTTAAAATTAAAGCATGTGCAACCACGCCTCCACCTCAGTCACAAACATGTCTGTCCAGAGCAGACGTTTTGAAAATGAATTTTTGTTACAAGATGCTCATTTTTTGTTTGTTATTTTTGTTATTTTTTATGATTCCTTGTTCAGCAGCTGGAACCAGCATTGCCTTCAGCAAAAGCCACATGTAAAGGACAACACAGCAGTCAGCTGTCACTGTGTGACATGAGGGTAGACAGGATACATGCATTTTTTTTTACTTTCTAGAAGCAGATGAACTCCCACTGAATATTTAATTCAGACTTTAAGCTGTTTTCACCGATCACTTGAAAGTTAAATAATTATCCTGTTTAAAGAAACCTAGCAGTTATATTTTGCATCCCCCCCACCTCAAGCAGCTATTGCTGTTGTGACAATATTCATCTTGTCCATGATGACTATTATCCGCTGTATAAATATTGATGATCTGAGTAATTGCTGTTCTGTACATGTGCTTCTCACAGATATAAATTTCTCTGCCTGAAGTAGGCTGCTGACAAAGTACTTTCCTGGAGGTGCCACTGAGAGTTGTTAGTCCG